AAGTTCGGAGATTACTTCATGCAATATTAATTAACCCTTATCAAAACCGACAGATATTACTAGTAATTCACAACGTTAACAAGATAGGTAACGAATATGGTACTTATCAATAATACAACAATAAATGTTCGACAACCGATAACGTCGGCATCTCTACGAAGCAGGTAGTACCATAGTAACCTACCGCAAACGTAGAGTGCGAAATATATGCAGGTGAAAATATTATTGTTTAGTCTTTGATTTTGATGATCTTGCGATGCGAATTGTAAACAATTCTTTCGAATAAAAGCGTTCACAGAATGTTCTTACCGTAAATATTAAAACATTTGGTAAATATCATGAATGGCGGTGCATTAGAAATAAAAAGGGTTTAGTAGCAGTACAAGCAATAGAGTTCCTTGTGAAAGAATTCGTCCAGGGTAGTACTGCCACCTTACCTATTTCTGCCGCCAAGCAGTAATGTGAGTATTAAACAACGTTCCGTTTTTGAAAGGTTTGGGTCCTGGTGAAATTACAGGACAATGGGACTTGTCAACTTGTGTCTCAGGACGACGGGCGCAATGGCAGTGCACCTCAGATCTTTGCGATTTAAAGCTCTAATTAGCACTGCAACTGCCATAGACAGGCGTGTCGCTTAGTATAAGCCTCGTTCGTCGTCTTGTTATGATACCAAGTTCAGAAAAGTTATTTTCCCAAATAGTCCTTCGTATCTAGCGTCATCAGATTATTTTTACTTGGTACCTTTAGAAAATGATGATTTAAGCTGGCGATTTTCACAATGACCTAGTAATATAAACGTAAGAACAAAATAGATTTCTTTTATATAATGTACAAAACAATGAAGAACAAATAAAAGAATATAGCGAAAGAATCTAGAAAGAAACATTATTATTGGTCTACAAAACTTTCTCTTATCTTTCGTTTGCACCTTACGATGGAACAGAAATTCATCAATGGACTGTGATAAATCGATTTCTCATCTTTGGTCTCGGAGCTTAACTACTGTAAGCTGGGAACTTACCGTAATTAAGCTCCCAACCTACACCTTTCATTACAGCTATTCGTTTACAAGTACAAGATTTTCTTCACACGTTGCGAAATTGCCCCTAGCCTATCTGTCATCAACCCTGGAGCCACAGAGTGTCGGTTCAGAGAACTCCAAGTGGTTATTACGTATCATTGGCTTGAGCCGACGCGTTGCGCACTTAAGCCATCAATCGCCCGTTGCTTCCCAGAACTGCGCGTACTAATGATTATGCCCTAGAAGATGCCTTGGTAACTAGTATTTAATGCTACGGTCGTTCGGTCTGACTTTTGGATAAGAACAGCCTCGCAACAAGGCATAAATAACATCAGGAAGATCGATCTAGGGCTAGCAGCAACAATTACAAATGTATCGCCAGAAGCAATAAAATTAACGACTGCAATGGCGGAAATGCACTGTAGGCGTTAGACAAGAAAGACCAATTTGGGAAAACAACTTTTCTAAATTGCTTCTGGTCTAGATGTTTTGGGTAGTGACCCGGAATGAATTCCATTGCTGCAGTACTAATTACAGGACATTCTCTAATTTAAGAGCAAGTAATTTGTGTGCTTATCTGGGCACATTGTTTTCTTATTATCATGAATAAGTTTCCGGGCTGCTTAAGTCCAATTAACTTATAGAAAAACTTGTAAGTCGCTTTACACTTAAGAACTACTCGAACAACTTTGTCTAAAGTCTTTGCAAAGTCCTATCCAACACCGCTCCCATTCCAAACGACGCTAGCAAGCAAACTAAACAATAATAACCATGTATGGCCAAGATAGTCATCGCTCGATGTGTCTTGGAACTAGGATGCGAGCAAACGGTCCGAATAGCCCGGACAGATGGCGATGCCGTGATAAGATACCTAGAGACAGTTTAAACTTATGTCGAAGACGTGAAAAATAGGTTGGAGGCATTGTAAAGACGAATAGTTGCTAGTTGAAAGTACGTCTTGGTTATCATAAAAACAAAGAATATTGTGTTATTTTAACATGCAATAGGAAGTAAGTGAATGTATTTCGTTGAATTCTAGAATTGATTTATAGACAGCCATCAAAATAAAAATTAACATTTTATCTAAAGGATGCTGGACAGTTCCATCTTTCCAGTGTCAAAATCTACAATTAACTCGACTAAGACCTTCAAGAATTTAGTCGTACAACTATGAGAAATGTGAAAAACGGTCAGAGCTAACTTATGGTTAGTCGAGCAGCAGTAGCTACATTGAGCATTCCGGCTATATTATTACGGCTGGGAAGTAATGCGCATGCGTTTACGAGCGGTTGTCATGGACGCCTAATTGCAGCTGTGCCTGGGCACTTTTTGTAGCGTCTGCAAATTGTATTTTTCATAGTATTAACGCCGTAAACGCTATGATGTGCATATACTACTCCAAAAAGTACAAAAGATAATAGACTATCTGTGCATTAACAGAGGATTATATTCAAGTTAAGCAAATGATAATGATATATATCGAGTACAGATACTTGTCTGCTTTTCATATTGTTTTACGATATATGGAAATAAACGACAAAACTTAGGAGGATAAATTTCCAGAAAGAGTCTCATGTCGAACCCACGGGAGAAAAAACGCCGTATTCATTGTTATGTAGTTGAACCTCTGAACACCAAGTGCTGATATAGTTGAAATGATGTTGCTGTCGTTCCCTATAAATGAACTCTAATCCCTTTTTAAGCGACATCTGAGTCAGTTTAGTTCACTGCACTTAAAATTGCCAAGCGTGAAACCTAATTCCGATCCTGGTTTCTTAACATCCTTAACATTTCAAGTTTTCACGTCTTTGGTAAGATACTACTATACACGGCTATATACGGCCTCCGTGGTCGAGTGGCTTGCATACCGTTTTCATGGTGTCGCCTATCTGAGGTCCCGGGTTCGATCCCCGGCCGGGTCAGTGTAGAAATTAACTTTTCTATATTGTCTCGAGTCTGGGTGTTTGTGGTACCGTCGTTGTTCCCGATTTCCATATCACAAGTGCTTCAGGTACTTACTTTGAAATCAGAATATTTATTTGTTTATTATTATTATTAATTAATATTGTTTCCACAAATCTGATGGTAAATCTTTCAGTTTTCTTAGTATTTTGACATTTTCTTTTAGTAAGTTCCTTAACGGATTATGTATGTATGTCATTGCGCATATTATGCATGTCACAGCAGCTGCTCACGAACGATGTAGGTAGAGGTACTGTTCACATCTCCATGTAGGATCAAGTCGCTATCCCAGAATCTAAGCCAACTTTCTTGTTATTTGCTTAACTTATTAAGCTTGCCTATATCAACAGCTATATAAACTCCTTGTACGGTTAAAAGACGTTTTCTCCGTGCATCGAGCCTACGTAAGCACGCACGTCCAGTGTAATTTAAAAGATACAAAACATTGATACACCTCCATTAATGCGGTAGCTCGGCGGTAGCAAATTGCGCTTGCGATCGAGTCTAAACGCTGTCGTTCCAGAAACCAGTAAGCAGGAGTAACTGTTGTTTCGAAAATGCCCGTTAATGTATACCCGGTTCCATGTGCAAATTATTAATTGTAATGGTTTGCAGTACAATCAAGAATCTATGGTACGTTTGATAGATTCTCTCTGTGTCAAGTGCCTAAAATAATCTTATAGTAAGCATTACTTCATTGTAAGAATAAAGGAGTCATTTTGAAACATGCAAGACTCGAAGGGCATCTTGTTCGGAACCTCTTGAACGCCCCTTACAAGGACATGGACCAGGCTAACAAAGGCCCAGATTTTTGATACAGCATGTTTTAAAGAAGGGTCACCACTTGAGTTTTTTTTTTAAGATCCAACCATTTTAAAAAGGAGGTAGAAGCCAATAGAAAAGGCTCAAGCACCTACTTTATTAAGTCGGGACCTCTTACAAATTATAATTCAAGAAGCTTTTATGTTCATTATTATAGAGACTACAGATTATGAATGTATATCATCATATACCACACAGAAAGAAAAGGGCAAAAGTTTATCACAGTCTTAAAACAACAAGCAGCAATTCGTATGCTTTCTAAAGTTGTCTCAATTCGATAATAAGTCGTAAAATATGTTGTCTACATTATCTGGCATGCAGATAAACTTGTTTTTCACGACGGTTTCTGCAGGCAGACATAACAAGTAATGAAATATGTTATGTGTAATATAAACATGGGCGTTTGGCCCTCTTAATCTGGCCACAATTGGAACGCTTATCGTAGATCCTTGTTTATAAGCGTATATCCCTCGTGTTCTTAATTTTTCGCGATTGTTACACATAGAAAATGAAATAATTTTTTTCGATAAAACAAACCAACGTTTCGGGCCCTTTACAGGTCCCATGGCCAGTCAGCCGTGACTATGGTCTTATGCACAAAGATCTTTTACTAATTGATTGAACGAGTCTTCCAATACAAGAGAAACGTCAGCAACTTCTGTATCAACTGTGAAATTAGTGTCTGAATTTCTGTACCGCTAGGATTGTTCTCATTCCTTTCTTCACTGCTGTTACGCATTATTGGAAGTTATGAGTTGTTGGCATCATGTTGCCATAATGAACATGTGACCGATAACGATTTACAGCCGGTACACGTGACTAATTGTTTTCATAATAATTAAATAACCGTGTGTGGCTCATTAAAATACCTAGTGGACAACTATAATTTCCCTTAATGTTTTGCGATATGTTGTGGAGTTTAATATAATATTTTAGAGAATTACCTACCCCAGAGCCAAGATCTGACCGAAAAATGTATATATGCATCCAGACGCAAACGAAGACCGTATCCATAGTAAACTAACAAAGATTTACAGACTTTATTTAGTTCACAATCCAATAAGCGGTCTGTTTACATGGTGACAGGTGATATTTGTAATACAATTCCGATTGGAAAAATCCGTAGGAACTACTTTCCACGTCTACTGCACAGTACACGTAATAGTAATTGACAATGTGAAATAGTGCAACTCACCTGTTTCCTTTTCATCGGAGGCAGATGCTTGCTGTGGACGAGCGCGAGCGCCGGCGCGGGCGCAGGGGTCGCAGGCGCAGGCGGCTTGGGCTCGTCGCCCGTCGCCAAGTCGTCGAGGATCGCGAGGCACTTGTCCCGGTCGGGCTCATCGTCGGGCACGAGCATGAAGCGGCGCCAGCGCGCCGAGTCGAAGCCCCAGTGGCACGTGCGGTGCTCCGAGCTGTGCGAGTGCGCCACGAAGCGGCGCGGCGACAGCAGCGAGCGGCACTGCGCGCACTGCACGAGGCGCGCGTCGGCCGCGACCACGCCGCGCGCGCCGCCGAAGCACTCGTGGAACACGCGGAAGCCGCGCAGCTTGCCCGAGCGCGGCGCGAGCGCGGCCGCGGGCGCGTGCAGCAGCGCCGCGCACAGCCGCTCGGCGTCCGTCTGCGTGATCAGCCCGCACGAGGGCGCCGAGCGCGGCAGCACGCCCTCCGCCTTCAGCTCGTGCAGCTGCTCGGGCGTGCAGCGCGAGCAGTAGATCTGCAGCTCGTCGCACACGCGGTTGATCTGCTCCAGGCTGAAGTCCGTGAGCACCGAGGTGAGGATCTGCGGCAGGCACAGGCGTCGCTCGCCGCCGACGCTGAAGCACGAGATGGGCTCGCCCTCGAGCAGCGTCTCGCCGCGCTCGCCCAGCACGGGGTCGGCGGCCAGCAGCAGCGGCGGCGCGGCGGGCGCGGACGGCGGCGGCGGCGGCGAGCGGCACGGCTCGCGCGCCTTGCCCGGGCCCTGCAGGCTGCGCGGCGCGGTGGCCGCGTAGGTTTTCAGCACGGACGAGAGCTGCGGTGTCACCACGTCCATGGCTCAGTCGGCGGCGCGCGATGGCGCGGCACTCGCGAGGCGCCCGCTCCGCGACGCGGGCATGTCTGCAGAGGCGACGGCGCCGCGCAGCGCCCGCGCGTCCCTCTCCCCCCTCGCACCCGGCGCGTCGCGCCGCCCGCGAACGGCGGCCGTCTTGCGGAATCCCCGCCCGCGTAGCGCACCACACCCGTGCAAAAATACGGGGAATGCTAGTTGTGTCGATTTTGTCGAGATTCGGGTATTTAAAAGCACTCGGCCCTTTTCTACGAGACGTGTCGTCGTGACGTTTCCATGGTGTTTCTTGGTAGGACAGCGAGGTAGTATCAATACGAGCCACAGTCAGTTTGGTACGTCGCGGTATAGTACGGGCGTGGAAGCCGGCGACCGGCGGCGGCGGCGGCAGACGGCTGGCGCGGCTACTGGCGAGTCTAGCCGGCCCCCCGCCCCGCACCCGCCCGCGCCGTGTCACGTGACCGACCTTCCCGTCAAAATATCGAGAATGGCGGCGCGCGAGCCGTGCTTCAACACTATCAAACACTAACGTCAAGCAGATGTCCAACTCAGTACAAAACACAACTTGGCCTAATTAATAAAAATCTTATTATTTTGCCAAAGGGAAAGGAAAGGTTTGCACGCAGAGAAACAACGCTAACAATTTAGAAAAAATATGAAATTTAAAATTCCCAAAATATCCAAAGGTATTATTTAATAATATGCCTAATACCTGAAATGTGAAACGTAAAACTCACGATCAAGTTCATAATCTCCTTTTCTCAAATTAATATTTTGATAATATGTCAACTGGAATTATTTATTTATTTATTTTAACTTTATTGTACAATACACTGAAGTACAAATGGCGGACTTAATGCTATAAAGCATTCTCTACCAGTCAACCATTGGGCCAAACAGAAAAAAAACACAATAGGTTGGTGCTACACTTAAACAAGAAGAAATAGAAATACTAGAAAACTAATCGATAATTTGTATGGTATAAATAAATAACATATAATAAACATACTTATTATACATACATAATAAACTTACATATATATATTATAATAATAAATAATATGATATATGTACCCAAAGCAACATTAAACAGTAAACAGTGTCTTAATTTTGACAATTGTCAAACAGATGCTTGCGCAACATGCGCTTGAAAGACAATTTGGTCTGAGCTTGTCTTACATGGAGCGGGAGCGCGTTCCAAAGACGAATTGCATGAAGGGTAAAAGAATTAGACAAAAAATCAGTGCGATGAGAAGGAATGGAAAGCTTAAGGCTACGGAAAGATCGAAATTCGCAACCCGGCCGAGCGTTTTGAAATTGAAATGAACATTTAAGATAATCAGGTGCAGCCGGGTCGAACAAGATGGAGAAAAGAGTGGTTAAAATTCTTAAGGACCTGCGTTTACGGATGGGAAGCCAATTTAGTTGACGACGACAAGCAGAGATATGGTCATACTTCCGCAGACCAAAAATAAACCTAATGCAGTTGTTAAGAAGACGATCTAATCTATTCAAAAAGACTTGAGAGATGTTACTGTAACACACGTCAGCATAATCAATCACAGGTAACACTAGAGCTTGAACAAGGAGAGTTTTGGTTTTAATTGGAAAAAAGTTCTTAAACCTGTATAGAGCTCTATTATGACTACAGACAGACGTAACTATAGTGTTCTGTGCACGTAACAATTTGATGTGGACTTGGATTAGACGGAACTACGTGCCTATTTTATAAATATGTATGAAAATTAATAGTTGTAGTGAAAGTAATTTGAATTGAGGTATGTTTAATTTTGTCAATTAACATGATGTGGAAAATTTATTGTGAGTATTGTATTGTTTGAAGCCAGTGCATCGGAGATCCATTTTTAACAAAGTAACACCAGATATTAATCGTTAAGGTCAAAACGTTACGCTTTATAATTTTTGACAAAAATAGCAAATACGAGTAAACTACATAAAATCTTTGAGAAAACGACTTGATTTGCGATTTTCTTTGAAATTGAAATTTGTTACGTGTGAGTACGTCTCAGATGCAAACACATAGCACGGCATTGCTAGTGATACAGTTTTGTTGTTTGTCCAATTAATTTTATAAATATCAAATTACTTGTCAGTGTATATTTATTTATGAACTAAAATGTCGCCACAAATTGTTATTTCCATTTTATTTTTAAAAACTAAAAGTGTTAACTTCTTCGACACTTGTGAAATACATCATTGAAACATTTAGGCAATGGAAATTCGGCATTATAAACTAAAGCGGACTAATTACTTTTGGAAACCGAAATCATGTTTAGTTGAGTTTGATCCAATTGTGTGTATTTCACAAAGTGAAGTTATAAAATTAAAATTCATAAAATGCCGAAATACGGCAAGCTTATAAATTTATAATATTTAAACCAAATATTATATAAGTTTATTGTTGGCGACCTAACGGTTTTTATTACCGGTAGAACCAAATTGGAAAATAGGTCTATCTAAATTAATTGTGAACTGTGTGTTCTAGATTTATAGTAGTTTGAGACCAGGTATTTTGTGTGGTTATCTGGCTCATTATTTTTATTACTGAAAATATGTAAGACATTTTATGGCCTTCTTGTTAATTAATTGCCTTCTGAATCCAAGTATTAGTACTGTCATTGTCTCTATGAGGCACGTAGAACGTTACGATTAATCATTCGAGTTCTGTCTACTCTACCGCTTGCCTGATATTAGGAAACGCGACACGCGCGGGGCGAGGAGTGCGGGGTCTGCCGCGAAGGGGAGAGGGGCGTCAGCTGCGTCTACCGCGGACTCGCAACGCCGTGAAAACCGCTTTTATCACTACCTACTACTAATGTGTAGGCTACGCGAATATCGACTCTACTGGTAGATTCTATGAAACACTTTCCAAAATCTATCGATATTGTTTTGTTTGTTGCAATACGAACCGGGAAGCGAAACTGAGCTCTAACACGAACACAATAGAGTTATACTAGAACTTTGGCTACTGAGTAGAGTAAGCGAACCAAAGAATGATAGATAATTGCGCACTTAGAAGTTTGCGATATTCATAATAGTGTCCGTCATTCATTACTTATTTTAGACATTTGAAATTATATTAAAATCAAACGCATAGTCTCGTGCCCAGACAGAGAGAATAACAAAGGTACAGTAGACTGTTAACGATGTAAGTGCTATAGTCAATAATGGAAGCTATCAAGTAACTCTAGGAAACTTGCCTTGTTCCCGTAATAATCAAAAAAATACTTAAAATTACAAAAAAATCTTTCAAGCTAACCAATCAATCAAAAACAAATTCACGTCAATAACAAAGAGATTATTTTCTAGAAATAAAAATCAACATAGGTACGAGATCCCAATTCAGCACAGTCAAGAGTCATACTAGACTTAAGACCGTCCACCCTTATTTCAAGTGCAATAAAGATGAATTTAAATAATTACTGTTCAGTTTCACGTGCTTTGACTCTGTACTATACATACTCGTACCTACTTATATCGTTCCTTACAACACTAACAAATTAAAAATGAAAGAACATAGAAGTCTGAATCAAAGTTGTATGTGATCAAGGAGATGTTTCATCATTCAGCCATACGACGCCCACTGCTGGGCATAGGCCTCCCCCAACGATCTCCACGACGATCGGTCCTGCGCTGCCCGCATCCATCGGCTTCCCGCGGCCTCCACCAGATCGTCGGTCCACCTGGTAGGGGGCCTACCCACTGAGCGTCGTCCGGTGCGCGGTCGCCATTGGAGAACCTTTCCGCCTCAACGGCCATCGGTTCTCCTAGGGGATGTTTATATCTAATGTATTAAGTTGTAGTTTAATGTTATTATAAATGTACAGTCGTACCAAATTCGATACTTTAGATTATTAACCAACTTCAAAAAAAAGGAGGATGTGCTCTATTCGACTGTGTGTTTTTTTATGTTACGCGATAACTCATATTTGCGAACCGATTTTGATGATTCTTTCTTTGTTGGAAAGAGAATATCCACCTCTAAGGGTGGCAAAGTAGGGGATGAATGACTTTCGTGGAAGGTTTTTTAGTAGGTCTGTACTGAGATTATATACCGTTCTTATCAAAGGCTCTTAGGGTCGTATTCCAGAACTCTACTCAATGCTCAAGTCAGGATTTGGGCAGACTTGAGTATGATTTGAAGCACTGGAAATACGACCCTAATGGCAAGGACTTGAGTATGATTTTCAGTGCTCACTGCAATACTCATGTCCTGACTTGAGTATTTAGTAGAGTTCTGGAATACGACCCTGAGAGTTGAATTTAAATCATAGGAAATCGTAAACGTTACCACGCCTTATAAGTATACCTACCTTTTTCCTTCGTCTAGATACCTACCTACGCAGGTCGTCGTATTGGACAGACAAAAATGGCCGGTTTTTGTAGCTATAGTTTTTTCACAAATCAATTTTCAGTTTAAGTACTAGTACATTTTGAACTTCAATTAATTGTTACCTGTTTAAGCTGATTGCTCTATAGCCAATTTGATGCTCACTAAAAAAAAATAATTTGAATTTTTGTTCGGATCACTGGTAGCGCAAGAATACACTGTGCTAAGATCAATTTAGTGTGATATTCGAATTAATTAGCAACGTCTGTCGGCGTCAGCCGAGAGTAAAATATTCGTTATTACAAATTACTAATGTGTTTTATTGAATGTTACGATGTTACACCACCTTGTTATTCCATTTTTTTGTTTTGTGAAATTACTGCACTAGTTCGTTAAAATATTAATACAACGATCGAACACTTAGAAAAAATTCCTTCGAACCGGCTGGATTCGAACCGACGTCTTCTAGCATTCCATTTTCAAATGTTGTAATTACTTTTTAAATATTGTTTAAGTAAGTGGCCAGTTCCGAAAACTTATAGTGCGCCCTATGTATAGGTCTTTCATTGGAAAAGTGGTGTAAGTCCATATTAAAAAAAAACATATTTTTTGCAAAATTGTATCACATTCATACATA